GGACGCGCGGAGCCAACGCCGCCCCGAGCCCCCTGCCCCGAGCGGAGGGCGCATCCTGCAATGTGGAGAGCCCGACGCTGACCCCCGGGGCGCTGGGGAGACCCGGGAGCCCAGAGACGGAGCCAACCCCAGGGCTTTCGGCCCCAAGGCAGTGGCGAGCCATCGACGGCAGGCCAAGGGCGGCCGGGGTCAGCGGCTTCGCAGTCCGGAGACCCCAGAAACGTTATCTGGCACTCGGGGTAGGGACAGGGCATCGCCCCCCACTCCGTGCCCGGAATTATGCAATTATTCAATAATCCGCGGAAGTCCCGGTCGCCGAGACGCTCGGCGCCGCCTGATGCGGGCCAGGTGAGGGGCTCGGTGGGCGTCTCCGGCGGGCGCGGCGGGAGCGAGAGGCAGCCCTGGGATCTCCGCTCTGGGGCACCCCGCCTGGGCTTCCCCACACCGCGCGCCCCGGCCCCACCCGCAGCAACGCGATTCTATGGACCCCGAAAGCTTTGGGGGCCCCTCCACCGGGTGGGGACCAGCGCCCACCTTAGGGACTGGCTGCCCGCCCTTGCTCCCCTTCTGTTTGTGCTCCGGTACTGGGGGGTCAGAGGCCGTGGCCGCGGGAGAGGCACCCTCAGGGAGCATGGGTGGAGATGCCCCTCCCAGCCCACACTCGTTCACCCCAGTTCAGAGGTACCGCGGGAACAAGTGCACCCCCCCCCCACATTGGTCCGTCTATAGCAGAGTTTCTGGGAGTGCCTGTATTTGAAAGGGCCTCTGGTTGGTGGGTTCAATTCAGACCCTAGTGCTTCAGTTGAAAACAAACATTGATGCATTAAGTTTTTTTGTTTTTTCTTTGGGGGGGCGAGGGGGGGGAGACAAGGGAAGGGCTGTAGCCAGGCCAGCATACATCTAGAAACTAGCTTCAGGAAGAGGTGAAGTGTACTCTGGGTCATTTAGGCCAGCGGGAGACAACTCCAGGAACTGTCTTCAAATCACTAGGAGATCCTGCCACAGAAAAAGAGGGTGCACTCCTGTGGGACTCCAGATGGGTGGAACCACCCGGACAGACCCTGAGATGGAGAGGTTGCCTTAGGGGCCAAAGACAGTCTGGACCTCAGGAAGCTAAGCAAAGCCTTTGAAATCAGACTTGGCTTCTAGTCCTGGCTCTGCAGCCCACTCTCTGTACAACCTTGGGTAGGCTAGGCGATTTCTCCAACAGGTTTCCTCCTCAGTGGAATGAAGATAGTTGAGTTCATAATACTATCAGGATGATTAAGAAAAGTCCTTAACACAGCGCTTGGTGCACAGTGGGGCTAAAGTAGTGGTTGTTAATGTGTTGCTCACACAAAGGTGGTGGGGGTGGGGAAATGGGGTGAAGGATGGGGACAGGATTTGTGACTCAGAGCTCCCTTTATATGGAGAAAATCACCCCGGAGTTATGTTTGGTCAGTTTGGGTTCTTGAAATGTGGGATTCATTAAATATATCAATCAATGTTGGAACGACATCTGTTTGCAAGGAGCTGGGACTGTGGCCCAAGCATGTAAGCAATCTGGGCTCTGCCCGGAACTGAGAACAAGGCAAGATCAGGGAAAGCTACATAAATAGAGGCACTAGGGAGTGAATGGCACAGAGAAGGTAAGGGCTGAGGTTCAAACGAGTTCCATTCCACTAGGAGAAGTAAGGGAGGCTTCCTGGAGGAGATACTATTTGAAAGGGGCTTTGAAGGATTGCGTAGAGTGTGGACAGGCTGTAATGTGGGACTATTCGTACATTAGAATTTTTTCCTAGGACCAGTTAAAGAACAAAAAGGCAAATATTTTAAAACCACAAAGGCGAGTCTGGTCAGTGTGGACTCTGAAGGTTGGCACTATGGCAAGGGTCACTGGGCCCATTCCCCTGGCTCCAGAGCAGTATTGGTGTTTATCTCTCATTTGTGCCTCACATGGAGTCAATGAGAGAATTACCAGGAAGCTTGCCTACAGTGACGGCACAGCTTGGCTGGGCAGGGGACCTGTTACAGGCCAAGTTGGAAGTAAGTTCTCATTGAGGCTATTATTAATTCAGAGTCTATCTTTCTAGAGCCCCTGCTGCACTCTGGGCAGGGTGATTGAGTGGGCAAAACTATCAAGAAAACCAGAAAAAAAGTGGACCAGTCCAAAGACTTTTCCAGCTGACATTCAGAGAGAGCAGATCCATTGACCAGAACTTGACTACCATAGCACATCTGTAGTAAGGATTAATGACATGATGATTCTTTAAAACCCAGTCTTCACTGAGCACCTGTTATCTGCCAAGCCCCATAAAAACACAGTGGGAGATCAGGCACAGCTGGGGGTGAAAGCCCTGGGGTCTCACTGCCTGGGGTGGGTCTGGGCTCTGCCAGTTCTCTGTGCCCTTGGCAAGTTACTAAATGGCTCTGTGCCTCAGTTTTCTCACCTGAAAAATGTGGGTAATAATAACAGAACTTACAGATTTATTGAGAGTTAAATGATCAAATGTATATAAAATTCTTGGAAAGTTCCAGGCACATATTAAGCACTCAAGGAGGATGTGTTTCTTCTCTGACACCACCAGCAGCAGCAGCACTCACGATACTTTCCATTAAGTAAGGAATTTGAGGACGCAGAGATGTAACTTCAAGCTCAAGTCCGTAGGAGAAGTCTAGAGGGAGTGCTGGGGCACAGGAGGCTCAGAGGAGGCCTAATGCCACAGCTCTAAATAAACCTAAACGTCCTAGCCCTTTCTCCCAAAGACCTGGCCCGAAGTCTTGATCATAATAGGAACTCTGGTATTTTTTGCCATTGAGGCTGTCTTAAAGTCAGTATGATTTTAGTGTGAGTGTTTTGTGGTGTTGAAGAGAAGAACCATACCACTCGGCACAGCCTTTGTGTGTCCTTGTGGGTGGAGGTCTTATTGAGCAGAAAACCTTGTATGGAAAAAGCACAGTACTAGGCACTATGGGTGTGCAAAGCCCGAAAAGACCTCAGCCCTGCTCTCCAGTTCTGGAAGAGCAGGGAAAGAGATGAAGTTGTCACTTTGCCTACCCCACTGCCCACCCTGCTGGAAGTTTGCCAGCCAAGCCGCTCACCTTCCACATCAGGCACTGGGGGCCCTAAAGAGATGGTGTGAAGTGTCACCCTCTTTCTCCTTATTTACCACGCCGCCTTGTCAACCCCACAGTGGACCCCCAGAAATGGGATGTCTATCTCCTTGCCATTCTCCCTGTCCCAAGCCCGCCCATACAGGGCTGTGGGCCCTGGAGGACTTCCGATTAATTTGGACTCACCTTAATTTTGCCCTCTCTGACCTTCTTTCTGTCCCCTCCTGTGGTGGAAGCTTCTTCCAGCAGCTGGGAGCTTTCCTTCTGTTCCCTCTCCTCATCACTTAGGCTAAAACTGTTCTGAGTTGGCCTGGTGCGGCTCTTGCTATATAGAAAGGAGGTTGGAGAATTTTAAAAGCCCTCTTTTCTCTCCAGGATGCCTGACTTTGGAGATTATCATCTCACTATAGGTTTCAAATCTTACTTTGGGAGTCAAAGTTGAGCCCTATTCTATTGCAGTTGCAAAAAGAAAGGATCCATCATAATCCTTCCCAGGCAGCAACAGCCTCTGGCTGGCTCAGGAAGGATCAGCTACAAAATAAGCTTTTAACAAGCAGTCGATTTTTAAATGTTATCTCTGCTGGTTCTCATCACTTAATGCCCCATCCCACCAGCCCGTGGGCTACCATCAAGGATTCACAGTCATTTGAAGCTATTTTCCCCCAAACAATTGTGAGCTCCAAAGATACCCACAGGCCCTCAATATGGGGTGCTTGCTACAGGGAGCTGTGCTCCAGGTGGGGACTGTCCCCAGCCCCCAACATGTAAATCCTAACTGTATGAATTGTGTTACCAGTGAGAAAGGGGAGAGAGAGACTGCAGTTGGTCATCTTGTAAACCAAAAGTAAATAAGCTGCCAAAAAATTCCCTGAAGGGTTTTCATACTGTGTACTCATCACCTGAGTCACAAAATGAGTAAAATCCCACCTGGAGGAAAAAGTCAGTGTGGTC